GTCCCAGCACCACCCCTTCTTCTTTACAGATCCAAATCGGTTAAGTTGAGCTTCGGATGAGTTGATTTTTTTTCACCCTCGCCCCCACCCCCGAAGACATCAATTCATCCGTAGTCGACAGTACATTCCATCCGGGTCTTGACCAAGATCATCAACAATTTAATATACATGTACAAGTACTAGATCTAAGAACGCAAAGTTTTTGACCTACTCACAACCTTGATTCAAAACATCAATCACAAGTTTCGTCATGTTCCACTCGTTCTACTAACCTTTACACCGTGCCGCCAAGCGAGAAAAAAAGGGGCGCAGAAGGGGGGGGGTGCGGTTTGGAGGGGGGGGAGGATAAGCTGTTGTTACCCCTCCTCTCTCTCCCCCCCCCCCCCCCTTGCACCCGTGTGACTGTGAGCCATCAGTGGTGCAGCAGACGGTCAGTCTGGTTGAGTGAGAGTGTGAAATCTTGCTGCTTGTCTTCAATCGAAGTCAAAGTGTCCCAATAGCGTGACCGCATGGAACTTTCTGGGATGGCCGGAGGTGTGAAATCTGACCATTGCCTGCCTGCCCCCCTCCCCCTCCCTCCCCCAACCACCCCTTACGTCACTCTCGATCGTACGGCCAGCCGAGTTAAAATGATCCCTTAATCGTTGTTAACCTACATGCAAAGAATGGATAGCATTGGCTGTCTGCGCTTATGACATCGATGGGTGGAGCTAAGGAGACGTTCAATTGGGATAGCCAGAGGTGTGAACTTTGACCCCCTCCCCCCTAGGCGATGACCGTCTAGCCTCCCCCCCCAATCTTACGGCTAGCCTTGTAAAGAGTTCCTCGAATCGTTACTGGCCTATGTTGCAAGCAGAGGACGGATGGCATTGGTTGACTGTACTTATTACATCGATGTGTGTGGGACGTTCAATCGTTTCCGTTTTTAATTGGCCGAGCAGTGGTCCTGTGAAATGCAAGCACTAAGTTCAGCGCTGATGACCATGGATTAGAGAGACTGGCGTATGCCATCATAAGACTGAGGGGCTGGGATAGCAAATGGGGGGGGGGGGGGGGAGGGGGGGAAGTTTTTGACCTCTGCTCACCGATCAGACAGACTCCCCTTCATTCACGCCCATACGGTTAGCCCTCTGACCCCCACCCTTCTTTCTCGCTTGGTAGCGAGGCGTAAAGGTTAGATCAGGGACCTAGGTCTCTGGTTAGATTTAGATCTAGTTAGAGTGGTTGGAACCAAACTTGGGATATTGTTTTAAATCAAGGTTGTGAGCGGGCAAGGCATTTTCCACATCGCTGTAATAAGTACAGTACAGTCAACCTGTGAAGTTTTGACCACTGTTGCGGACTCGACAGACTACTCTTCTGAGCTCTTCATTCAACAAACCCTTACGGTTATCCGTCTGGACCCCCCCCCCCCTCCCTATCTATCCCCGGGGTTTATGCGCCCTGCATAATTTACCAAAATTTGAACGTTTTTTTGCACAATTTCTGATTATTTTCCTTATCATTCTTTGTTAAAATTAACCGAACCGCATAATTTCACATTTTTGGGCTCAGTTCGCATAATTTCAGAATTGTTTGTGCACGGAAAACATCTCGGCTCCCTCACGATTTCGTCTTGGACAGTTCGACTGTAAAAATACGTACCGTGCTTGGCAAGGAAGCTGAGCTGGTGACCCCTCTTCGAATCCCCAACATTCTAAAGACACGTGGCTTTGTCCTATCAAAGATGGAGATGCATATATATATAGGGCCTACCTATATAGTAGTTTTCATGGGGGCTTTCAATTCATTTCATAGTATACTAATACCACAGTCATAGTTTAGTTAAAAAGGCTGTTCATGTAGTAAAAAGAGGAGAGATAAGGACGACAGATGTTTAATAGAAAAGACCATAACGCCCGCCAGCAAACCAGGGTTTTTTTTATAGTAGAGGGTTTTACGGCGCTCACAACTACATAAGGTCATATGAGCGCCAAGGGGTGGGTGTCAACAGAGAAGTCTTTACAGGGAATCAGACTTAGACTGCTCACCTCTCTAGCTTCAACAGCACAAGGTCTGCTTCGACTATTAAGGCACCCCAAAATAGCAGGTCACAAGAGAGCGACAAACATACAAAAGAAGTAGAGGAAAATGACAGTAAGGATCAGAAAAGAAAGAGCAGCAGTTCCCTGTTGTAGAGCGTGACATGAGTCAGCCCATTTACAATTCTACTATGCTTGAGCGAGAAACATCCCCCCTTTGGGAATGACATAAAGACACTTCAGTCAGTGGCACTGTCCCGGGGGGTAGCAAACCAGTTTAAATAATTATGAACATTTACAATACAAGTATCGTACCTATTAGAGAAGTAAGACTAAGACCAATCCAGTAGCGCCCTCCAAAATCCTGATCTCTTTGTTTTAATCTGTTTCGGCACTATCTTATTAAGTGCTTTTTTCTATGCAATTGTGCTTTACATAACCCTTCTCAAATGGCTGTGAAAATAAAATAAAAGCAACAGAAATGTGGTTTCTTAGGACAGGAGATTGATGAGAATATCTTGGAAGGAAAAGAATTCAAAAGAAGTAGTACATGTACTTGATGGAGCCCACGTTGGACGTTCACTTATAAAAACAATCAGGAAAAACAAAAGCAGTTTTTGGGACCCCTGAATAGGCATAGGTCTTGAACATCTAGCTCTCACTGGCAAAACTGAAGGCAAACGAGGCATGGGTAGGCCCAGAGCGACCTACTTAGAGAACCTAAACATGGATAACGAGGAAAGATAGGGTAACGTAGCTTTTTAAGAGTATTCGAGCAAAGGTTATTGAGGGCCATGGTCGCCGATGTCTTTTTAGTTCTAATCTAGTAGAGGTTTAACGGCGCTCGCAACTGCATAAGGTCATATGAGCGCCAGAAGATTAGAGGTGTTACAAGAGAGTAACAAACATAAAAAAGAAAAAGGGGAGAAAAGGACGATAGCTATTTCACTGGAAAGAAGAAGCAAACCACACCAGAGCACCCACCAACCACCCACCGATGTCTGCCGCACTTGATGATGATAATGAATTAAATGAATGATGTGTTTTACCCACATCGACACAAAGGAGGCCTAACCAGAGCCAAACATTGAACCCGAGATTAGAGGGAAACAACTTCCCAGCAGAAAGACCAAGATACTCGATAAAAATTCTCCACATTCAGGAATCGGAACTTAGGTCTCTTGTGAGCATCAAAGTAGACCCTAACCACTGTATATGTAAAGACGCCATTTTAAGTTCTCTGAATGTATGTTTAAAAAAAAAAACACTTTGCATAAAAGAAAGTTTGAACCGGAAATAAATAGTACAACTAGTACAGTCGAACCTGTGTAAGACGGTCACCCAATGTCAAGGAGAAAAGTGGCCGTATAAGACAGGTGGCCGTCTTAGGCAGGACTGATCAAGATGAAGAAAACAAACGGTACCATTCCCATCTGAGGTCCCAATCGAAAATAGCTGCATTGTTGTTGTTTTTGTTGTTGTTGGTGGTGGTTTGTATTTTGTTTTTAATTTTTATTTGTTGCTGATTTTGCACAAGGGTGACAATAAAACGAAATGTATCAGACGAGGAAGACCGAGTGCCATGTTAAAACAAACACATGGGTCTCCACCACTTGGAGAACGAGCGACGCTTCTATCACAAGTTCATGTTGACGTCCTTTGTTACTTTGTTACAGACTGGGTAAACAGTGACCACTCATCTCACTTACGATTCGTGTAAGAGTTCTGGGCGGGGCTTATGGGTTATGAGGGATCACACGTTTACCTCACGAACAGCTGAAAATTAGTAGCTATTGGTCAACAGTGGGAGGGGCCTACGCAACATGATCGGTTGGAGGGACTATCTGACAACAACGACAAGTGATTGAATTATGACGGCTCGCCCACAACGCCAGGGACCAATGCACAATTTATGACAAAACGTAAAGGAGTCACAAAGGTGGCCGTCTAAGACAGGTATTATTGCTTAGTGTGATAGGGGTTGTGTGTTAAAATATGGTGGCCGCGGCCGCGTTGAACAGGTGCCCGTTTTACACAGTTAAATTATATAGAAAAAACGCAAGGGGGGAAATGGAAAGGGGCCGTTTGTGCAGGTGACCGTCTTATAGAGGTGGCCGTCAGGGCAGGTTTGACTGTAGTTGTTTGGTCCCAATTTCGTCACCTGTATTAGGCACCATTAGTTTTATACACATGTTGTTTTTTTTCTTTAATAACAAAGAGTCTCGTCCCTGCAAGCCTAGCACCCGTAGGCCTACATACAGTAGTATAGTATAATTTAAGCATTATTAGCGCTGCTTGATTGCACTGATGAACCCCCCCCCCCACACACACCTATTCTGACACTCATAAACCGAACATGTCTTATTTTCTAAGTGCAATACGAACTTAACTGTTACTGTTACACAAGAAGTACTGGGGTTCATGTACATGAAACAGGACTAAATTTATTTTATTACAATAGGAGGACACCTATCAGGATTTTACCTTTTGTCTTATTTTTAAATGTAGATAGATCATGTTTTTAATAACCCCCATCCCCTCTTAGTCTTAGCCCAGGTTGGCCCTGACAGGCAGGGTTGGAAGCCCACCTCCTAAATGATCTTGTAAATTGCATCAGCGGGTATGTAAAAAAAATCCTTCATTTAATTTTAAACTAGACCCCCATCAACACAATTGTAGATCATTAAAAGGACTTAGGCTTCAACCCTGTGACCTGTCTGCCAGCAGCCCCCCCCCCCCCCCCCCCCGGGGCTGAGAGAGATATAGACCTATAACTCAGTAGAAAACCGAGATAGTCGATAAAAATTCTCCCCATACAGGAATCTTAGTCTTAGTGTTTCAGTTACAGCAAAGTGCCAAGCATTTATACCAAAGACGACGTATAATAATCAGTCAGTGTCAGCACCTGGAAACTAGAATAAAACACAAAGGAACTGCCACAGCATCAAAACAATTAAATTACATAACAACATGAGAAGCTTTTGTACATGAAAATATCAATGTTTATTTACAGAACACATGGTGATGTAATGCATAAAAAAACAGCATGAGCATTGTGCAGAGCTACACCCTGAGGGTGATATTGAATTCAACATGAATGAAATGCCACTGCTTCTGAATCAGTTTGTATCTGCCACATTGCTTGCGAATGACTCGACACCTTTCTCAGAACACCAGCTCGTACAGCAACTGCCGTAACCCTCCTGTGTACCTCCATTAACTCAACTACCGTATTATTTCCCGACGGCTGTCATGGTTTTATCATGCTGAGATACTGCTGTCATCCATCAAGACACTTGTCTGTGTATGATCATCCTCCAGTTATCAATTACAGGAAAAAGACAATGCATTTGCATTTGGGTCTTTGTGTACTAGTACTAGCCAAGTTGTGTCAATTGAATCAAGCCCTTGCTAAGAAAATAGTTCTGCGATAAAAGGGGATAGGCTAAATGTCTGTCACAGAAGCATATGGCCAAACGCCTAATGTGAAAGTGGACAATGAGTACAAGTGACTCACACTTCAGACAAATTTGATTTAGCTCAAACAGGTGCCCACATTGTCAGCAGGTATTCCAAGGAAACATGCAAAGGAAATCAAAACACAGCAAAACATGCTCTAACAATAGCCACCTGTCCAAGACAATCATCTTTACGAATGACTGCTTTCCCTTTAACCCCTCCTCACATGTTTTCTATTATAAAGAGACTGTCCAAGATATCCAGCTGTTTTATAGCCAGTGCCCACTGAGGGGCCAACAAACCGATCGCCCGATTCACAGCCTGAAAACAAACGAGCTTGTTTTTGAGGTGATGAGTCGGGTAATCGGTTTGTGCCACAATAGCAGCTTTGCGCCCTCAATCTGGCTAGCCCCGACCTACCAATCCAAACCGATCATGCCAATGGGCACTCCCTATTTGGCAACCATTTTATTCCTCCACAATGGGTGGCTGTCATGGACAACTTCAACAGTAGTATCTCCTATCCCAATTCCCCCCTTTTATCCAGAGTTAGGGCTACATGATAACAATTATAACTCAAATTTAAAAAAATAAATTCCTAATTTAAAGGTTTGTTTCATTTTTATGCTCCTCGTGGATAAAATTACTGAAAAAATCATTTTGTAGAAATGCACCCAGATCAGATAACATTGACCCTACGGTAGGAAGTATCACTGAATTTTGCATGCTATTTTTTTCTGTCATACCGCTGCAACTTATATAGAAACCATTGTGATAAAAAGCTCCACTTTAACTTTAAACTCAAATTACAAATCAGTGAAAAGAAGGGAGATGACTCAAAATTGAAATAGTGCATTTTTAAGAATACATTTCAAATTGTAAAAATTTATTTTCTGACAATGACTAGTGTCCCCGTTACCGATCCCACACCTCTTGGGTTCCAGCTCCTCATCCAAATGTAGTCAAAATTTCTCAGGAATCCGCTCTTTTGTACAACAAGCCTACTTAGCGCTCTTATAGGCAACAACCACTATGACAAAAGTACGAAAGTCAAGAAAAAAATCTCCTCAACAGAAGTCAACAAGGACAAGAGGGTTCTAAAAAAAAGAAAAGAAAAAAAAAATTTGTAATACTATCAGTACAGACAAAAAAAAAACCCTAAACAGAAAAATACAAGTCAATGGAATTTTTAAAAAGTTGCATCTGGTCATGCCGGCATTGTGCCCTTTGTGCGACTTAAGAATGGTTCAGTGACCTCAACTTTTGATCCTGTCAGTATATTTGCCACACTCTTGGCCAAGTACAGTCTGCCTATCGTTCGATAGATGTATTTTAAAAAATAGAGTAACATATTTCTAAGTTATTTTCAAATTGGGGTGCATTGGAATCACCCTACATAGAATAAAATAGTCATGACCAAAACTGCATTATAAAGAAGTACATTCAATATTATACCTCTATTAAATAACGCAATATTGCATAATAACAAATTTTGTCCAGTCATTAAAAACAAGCCACCTTGGCGCGTTTCTTACAACAGGTTACTTCTGACACGAGACATAATGCCCAAAAGTTCAAAATACTTGTATTTTGATTGTAAAACACCAACACCTTTACTGCACAACTTTCAAAAACACTGGCAGGTTAGCTCAGGAACTTGCGCTGGAGCTTCTCACAAATTCAAGCTGCAGTTTTTGTCCCTTGATTTACCCTCTTCTTTGGTGACCTGAACAATTTCCAATAGATATAGGGAGACGAATTATTTGGGTGTCACAACAATGGGCATACTTTGGTTAACAAACACACCCTAACCCGACAACCGTACTGCACCACAACCAAAACTGCAGAGTCTTGAGAATTCCTTTAAACATTTAAAACTTTATTCCTGGCTGAATCTCCTGACGCTGCAAACAACTATCTTTTTCCCATGCGAAGTACTTTTCAAATATATATATTTTATTATTCAGATTTTTTTCTTTCTAAATCTACACCAATACCAAAATGAAAATGACACAAAGGCTCAAGTAAGCGGAACCAAACAGCCATACCCAGGCAGAGAAAGTGATTTATTTACCCAACGTACCAGTGAGAAATCAAGTACAGTACGCTTTTGCTTAGAGGTGTATTGCACCAAGTCAATTATGCTACGCTGTGGCAAAACAAAATAGTCTCTCCTTCAGAAGTTTCACAACACCTGTTGCCGGGAAGAAAGCAACTCAAGATTCAGTTCCTGAAGTATCACCATGAACGAATGAAGAACAGACGAAGCGTACAGTCAGAGTCACTGAGTCGCTTGCACGGCATGGGCAGCATGAGCGGCAAACGCTTCATCGTTGTTCACCACAATCGTGTACTCCGTGATACCTTCCGCCGTCTTGGCGTCCAGATCCGACTTAGGTTTTGCAATAGCGAAAGCGTCCAACTGTGCTTTGAGCAGGTCAAGGTGCGCCTGTCTCTCCACCCGCTCAAATTCAAACTTGCTCTTCTGTAGTTCCATTTCCCGTTTGTGAAGTTCCAGTTCTTCTCGCCTCAAGTCCAGTTCTGTCTGACGCATCTTGCGGTCCTGATCGTCTTTGCGTTGGAGGAAGTTTAGGAATGACACGATGTCTCGACTTGATACCGAGGAGGACTTTGAGGCAGCAGCATATGACCTTCGCTGTCGATTCATTTCTGGTGGAGCTGAAGAAGAAACACATCAGAAAATATGTTCAAGAAAAATATTGAAACTAAATGAAAGCATCTAAAATGATGTAACATGAGCATGCTTATGAAGCAAGATGATGCAGCTAACAAAAAGGTTTCATACCAGCTTGGTGATTCAGAGACCCTGGACATCATAATTAAACACTCCAGGAACAAAGACAAGATCAACCCAATCACCCTTCATGCAGTAAATTTAGTAAAACAGTTCTTAAAAGTAGTAAGTTAAAAGCTACTAGTCTATTAAACTGGCATGACAGAAAGAGTGATCTTCAAATCAAAGACTTGTTTCCTGTTGTTGATCCTACAACTCTCGGGCTCCTGCTTTTCATCCAAATGTAGTTAAACTTTCTCATAAACACAGTGGAGTCCACTTAAACTGAAATCTGACGGACATCCTGATTTTTTTTCCATTTAGCAGGGTTTTCTGTTCAAACAGGCTTCTCAAAACTTTTTTTAAATCTGGGATTTTATTTTATTTTAATTTAACACTGCTCTCAGATTAACTGTGTTCAGTTTAAACTGACTTCATTATACACCCTTTAGCACATCTAACTTATCTGATGATCTTATAACTGGGCAACAATCACAGTATGACAAAAGCATGAAAGAAATATCTTCACAACAAAACCAGGAAAGCCAACACAACAGAATGAAAATGTAATCCACCTCCATAGGAAAGAAAAAAAAAAAAAAAAAAACGTTAAAAATTTTGGTGACAAACATAATTGCTCAGTCAGAAGTTGAGCTTTTATTTTTAAAACAGTGCTTGCCAACCTAGGGGGTATCACCCATTAGTGGGTAATTTGGTTATTTTGGTGTGCATGGGGATCACCTTAGTAATTATACCCCTTGTTGAAAAGAATGTAGGCGAGCAGTATAAACATTTTTTTACCTCTCAAGAGTACAAAAAAGTGAGCGCTGGCTTTAAAAGGATTGACAAGCACTGATTTTAAAAGAAATCAGGAACAACACCCCCCCCCCCCCCCCGATATGCCTTCAGTGAAAGACTGGACCATCATCTTTTCCATTTCACAGAACCAAATTATGACATCAGAGCTACTCTATTCCCCCCACAACCAGACACAGATACAACATTGCATGGCACTACACAACAAGTGATAGGAACGTGCTGAAACAATCACATCACAGTGAAAGATTAAAGTGCCCAGAGCCCATGCTTCATAGTATCAATGACAACAATATCACCAACACAAAATATCAGGCAGCTTTGAAAAATTTTCTAAATTTCATTTTTTTAAATCCCTTCCTCAATAATACAGGACCTGATGACAGTAAATACAAGTATTTGAGAGGCCTCATATGTAGCACTAAATATTATAAGAGTCAGTAGAACACAATACGGAATATGTCCTATTCTTTTTTTTTTGTAGCTATGACTGGAAAAAAAAAAGAAAGGTCAGAAACCAAACCAACTTGTCTGCACATTATATTACACCAAAAGAATAAAGCCCTACATCTCCTCCAACAAATCTCAACTTTATGCCATAGCGAAATGCCTTACATCAAAACTTTATTTTTTTCAAAAAGAACTCACATGGTGAATATGCTGGTGAGTCTCCTCCCATTTCTGCTGTGGTGTCCATGTCATCATCATCATCATCTAAGACATCATCTTCGTATTTCTTCGGACGTTTCCTTTTCCTGCCTCGACCACCTCTCTTGGGGGGATTGTCGACAGCGTCCTGCCTCGCTTGCGCCAGTTCAAATAAAATAATTCCCATCTCGTCATCAGGCAAAGGAGATCTGAAAGATTCATAGAGGATGAAATGACAAGCGTTATTATATTTTCGTAACAAAGACATATAGAACAACAATTCGAAGACAAGAAGCATATATAACCTACAATTCATTTTAAAAAATTATGCAAACATACAGTTGTAGATAAAAACAATTCACATGTGTATGGATCCTGAAGACACACAATAAACAACTGAAAGATGTAACATTCCATAGACCTGCATGTGAGCCTCAACCAGATTGTCTGAAAATTTTGCGCACACCACACAACCACCCCCCCCCCCTCCAATCCATTCCCCCAATAAGAGCTTTTGTGGGCGTCATAAAACAGCAGCACTTGTAGAGGTACACAATGGGGGCATCAGCCCCCCAAAAAAGAACCTGCAATGGCCCTTCAGAAATGTAAAAAAGCCAGCAAAAGTCCAAAATGGAAAAAAAAACAACCCCACCCCAAAACAAACAAGGAGCATAATAGCATACACTGCTATAAAGTGTTTGATTAAAGTGTTTGATACAATAACAACATGGAATTGGAATGTGAATCCTCCATATAGTATTCTAGATAAATCTAGATCTAGATCTAGTAGAATAAGTGAAAAAGAATAGGCCTTGAGCGAAATCAGCATCGGAACAGAGGCAGAGGGCAGGAACTCGGCTGTTTCTAAAGTCTTATAATTTATGCACCTGATGAAATGCACTTTTACCAACATTAAGAATCCTCCATAGGTCTAAATCTAAAGTGGTCTATAAAAATCTAGATCTTGTAGAGCAAGTGAGCAAGCCTTGAATGAATCCACATCCGAACAATTGGGTCAACACAGTGCTTCCACCAGCTGAAGCTGAAAAAGTAAGGAAAATTCTGCCGGGGGTCTGGGGGCCGCATAGGTCCCCCCCAGCTGGGACCAGGGACAGCGTCCCAGTGGAGGATCAGGGGGCGAAGCCCCCGAAGAAATTGAAATTTAGTGCTGTTAGAGGGTTGAAAATGGCATTTGGGAGCCTGTTTGAAGAGATTGCCTACAGCCCATAACATTTATTTTTTCACCAACATTTTGTCTTGTTTGATTTCTTCACCAACATATCTTTCCATTGTTGACAATGTTTAAAAGCAGGTTCCATTGATAGCAGGAAACCTGGGAATAATGAATAGATATATATGAACCTTCACAATACAGTTGCCCAGTGTATACCCTACTTTTTTCTCAATTTTTCACGTCTGAATGTCGCCTGTCACAACCTCGGAACACCACTTTGAATTATTTTTTATTTTTACCTACGGCTGGATCGGGCCGATCGCCTGAAACTGAAAACAAACAAGTTTGTTTTGGGGTTTTTGAGGCGACCGAGTCTGGCGACCGAGTCTGGCGAACAGCGCGATCGGCCGATCCCATCCATAGTGAGCACCCCCGTATCAGCATTATATTTCTTTCATCGCGGCCCTGATTGCGTTCACGTGCCGTAGAATATGCGCATTGATAATTTCTCTAGATCTAGACAAATTTGCAAAATAAAGTTTCTTTCTGACAGTAATTTTCTGTCTAAGATCACAAGTCAATTTACTTGATCAACGCGCAGATTTTCCAGCCACGGCAACTATCCGAAAAAAGACAGAAGGAATGAGTGAATGATAGAAAGGAGGAAATTGGCACAAAAGTTTCTCCAGATTTTGATCCATCTGCAGGTAAAACATGTACTGCCGACCAACCCGCAATAGGGACATAGCGGAATAATGGCCGATTGCAGGAAATGCGCAATCTGGCAGGTTTCTATAACTTTAACTTGTTGCCGAGAGAAATACCGAAAATATCCGTAACTTATACAAGACGATACATGTACGAAGGCGAAAACGGAATTTCGGCAGTCCTGTGCAGTTGCAGTTTTTTTTTACGGAGGGCGTTGAAAATGATGGAGGAATAAGTACGGAACTGGCAAAAAGTATGGATTTCCGAAAAAATACGGAAGAGTGGAAGCACTGTCAACAGACGAAATTCAAAATGGCCGCTCGAGCATGAAACTGAAAGTAGATCTAATTTAAACCGTCGTCCTTTTTCGTATTCGTATTTCTTTCTACTCCGGTTCCGACAATTATGTTGGAAACGCAGACGTCGGCTAGAAGACGAAAGTGCCGACAAAGCTGACCGGAGGAAAAGGAGGCGCTGGCGATTGGCCAGGCCTCACACTTCGCAACATTGACTAACAGAGGTGGGCCTAGCCATAGCATCGGCCGGGTCGCAGTTGTTGGATTTCAGACGATTGTCGGCAAACATGCAGGTCTCATTACAGACTGGATCAGAGCACTGACTTGTCACAAAATCTTAAGATAGCTTAACAATTTATAATGGGTCAAAACGCAAAACAAAATTTCCCTTCCAGCCCATTATTTCATCAATCAGAAGAGTCTCGATACACACATAAAAAGCTGGTCTTGAATTTCAGTAAGCTACAAGCTCATATTTTCTCGTGGAATCATGTGCAAACAATCTTCGTAAAAATATTTAAATATAGTTTCATAATTCAGTTTCCTTTACAATGAAGACATACGGTCAAACCTGCTCCATCAGCTGTACTTTGCTTGAACTTCGAAACCAAAACAGGAAGGTAGACTCTAAACAGTACAAATACACAATTAATTGTGGTCCTGGGGTTTTTTTTTTTAGGGTAGACGGTGACAGTGAAAAAAAACAAACAAACAGAAAGTTGTTCAACAAGCAATGCTGCAAAGTATTGGGACAAAGTTTTTGCGCAGTGAATAGGAAAATAATTTGCAAATATTTAACACCTTTCTACGTCATTAGAAAGAATTTCAGAAGAAAATAAACAAAACAGGCTGATAGTATTCTGCCTCATTTCGCTGCAGAAGCAAGCACAAAAATCTTGTGAGCTCCAAGACCTTTGGAAGTTTGCTTACTTTCCATTACTGTTTGCCATGTAGCGGTCCATCAGAAATCTGATTCTTTTCTTCACCATCCGAATATTTACAGTTTTGAGGTGACTGTCTCTGCCCTGCAAGTCTGTCACAATGGATGTCCACTGCTTGTCAGCATTCCATGAGATAAAAGGATTATGCTCCAGGACCACTTTGGCAATCAGGAAATCAACATCATCCGTGAAGGAGAACGAGCGAACACTTCTGGGCGAAAAGGGAAAAAATCCAATAAAGAATTAAGTTTCCAGTTTGACCTTCACATACAAGAGAAAGAAAACAAGGGAATGAAAGATCTGTTATGTTAACTCTTTCAACACCAAAAAAAAAGAACATTGTCCACAGAAGTTGTAGAGCAGCGATTTTAACACGATTTTTAAAAATAGTAATTTCTCACTAACCATAGATATTTAACTGAGGTATTATAGTTGCCGTACCTTACGGTTTATTCTGAAAAATCAGCAACCATAACACAATGATTTCTTTTCCAATCATGGCAAGAATATATGCAAAAATATATAAATTAACACCACACAATCAAAGGCGACCTGACTTTTACCTAAGCAAATCTCTAAAGAGCTGCAGCATTAACATTCTAAGGAATTATTCCTTCAAATAACAAGCAAAAAGTAGGATCCTCATATACAATTTTTTTGGGGGAAAAAGACATTTCCATGTAACTTGCAACTCAAATAAACAAAAGAAGGGATGTCTGCATTGGTGTCCTTTTCGCACCATGAAAATAGTTCAAGATTTAAAAGACAAAGAAGGCCAGATAGGTATAGTCTTTGTATAAATTTATAACCCTCTGAGTATAAACATTTTTAGGTCACAATTATTCATATTATTTCAAGTCTTATGATTTTTTAATCTTCATATTACCATTACTACAAAGGCAAAACATTTTTTAAAATTAAATGTTTGCATTAAATCAAAACCATCAATTTTACTTTCAAACTGCATTTTATTACATTATCAGTGACACACAGACTAATATAAAACAGTTGTGTCGGGCAATACTTTTACTCCAACTCAAAAGATGTAGACAAAAACAACCATCATATGTGTGTGTGTGCCTAAAGAAAGGTACCAAAAGTCGGATTTTGACCATTTTGAGTTAAGGGTTAACCTTTAAGGAAATTTAATGCTAAACACACGTTTTTTTTAAATTTCTTAGATATCTCAAGTAATTTTTTAGGTATTGTACATTTTGCGAGGTAGGGTATAAAAATATAATTTTGAGAAAAAGAGCTTTTAAGTTTAACAAACGTGATAACACACAAACTTTAAAAAAATGATTTTTAAATTGTATTTATTCGTGGAAAATTCATTTCCAATTTGGCATTCAGTTGACATTGATATCATGAAAGGGATTCATTGATTAAACATAGCCGGGAAGAGAAAACATGTCTCAACAACAGACCTTTTAAAAGCAGTTTTCATTATTTGTTTTTATTATATCCTTCCCTCAAAAAAATTCAAAGTAAAGCATTTAGAAGTCAAATCAATGAAAACCCTTTGAGCACTGTAAAAAAATATTGGATTGATCATTTTTTTAATGAAAACACATTTTGGTCAAAAAAAGATTTTTGTCTCTACCAGCCTGTAGCCCGAAACGGTCTGGGGCGACTTTTGGTATCTTTCCCTAGGCGAACACATATATATATATATATAAGAATCTATATCATTTAACCAGAAAATCTTTCTATTCCTGAAAAAGAACTAGAACAGTAAATAAAAGTAAAGAAAGCAGCCCACCTGATGATTTCATTTCCTGAGTGAAGGGCATGATTCTTGTGTTCAAGGTTACAACTGACAATATTCAAGGACCCTTGTTTGTACCGAAGATGCACCATCGCTTCACAGCCAAGACCAACATACCTGTGAAAATGGGTACAGTAACATGAGCGCTCTTAGCAAAACGAAGCAAGCACTTGAACAAGCATTATGGTGAGAAGGAACACAGATTACAACTAGTACTGACAGAACAGAAAATGGAAAAAATGATCTTTATATAATGTTTCACCTAAAACTCAAAAACTGACTCACTGCCAACATTGTGTCTACACATCGAAGACTGGGTACAAGACTAAGAAACATGCCAAATTACAAAATTATTATTAAAGGCCCTTGTCAGAGTTTTGCATCATGCAAACTAGAAAATAATTTTACTGCTGCTATCGTAGCATACAAAAAATAACTACTTCATATGATGTGAACATAACCATGCCATCAAAGACAAAATTCTGAAAAGGATCTATCTGAGATCGTTTTTGTTTTCCAACAAAAGAGGCTGTGAAACTTGTAATCCTGAATCCACAAAAAAGTTTGGCCAGCAACACAGTCAATGATGATCTCACCAAGAAGCTAAATTACATTTTCATTCAAACCTGTGTAAAACAGCCACCCATTGTCAAGGAGAAAAGAGGCCGTATAACACAGGTGGCCGTCTTAGGCAGGACTAATCAAAATGAAGAAAGCAAATCATTCTTTTTCAAGGTCCAAACTGGGGCTGAACTCAGACTTTATACTGCCGTAAGGCAAATTCAAAAGAGCTTTTGTTTTCTTTTTTAAAAAAGGGGGTAGGTGGTGTAAAAAAGGTTTTTGTGTTGCTGTTTTGTTGGTTTGGTTGGGTTTTTTTGGCTAGCCTTCTTCTGGTTGCTGATTTTGTGCAAGGGTATAATAAACGAAATATTATGTAAGTAAGACCATGAAGACCGAATGCCATGTTATGTTATAACAAACACATAGGTCGCCACCACTCGGAGAACAAGCGATGCTTCTGTCGCAAGTTCATATCAGCGTCCAATTGATACTTTGTTTCAGATTAGGTAAACAAAACAGTGATCAGTCACTCACACACCATTTGTGCATGAGTTGTGGGTGGGGCTTATAGGTTAGGACAGATCACGCTTGAAAATGTATTGTTAGGCATATCCATTGGTCGACTTGGGTAAACATTCATTGGAGGGACTAATAATAACGACACGTGAATGGATTATGACAGCCCGTCCACAGCGTGAGAGGCCGATTCAAAATTTAAGACAAAGCGTTTGGCAATGAGTGACAATGCCTGGCCACCTGAGGCAGGTAAATTTGGCTGTGGGTTGATATAATAAGGTGGCCGCGGCCACGTTGGACAGGTGACCATTTCACACAGTTATATTATATCGAAAAACCGCTAAGGGGAAAATGGAAAGTGACTGTTTGTACAGGTGGCCGTCATTGCAGGTTCGACTGTATTTATGAAATAACAATGTACAGGAAAGGAAGCCCCAAAGATAAAAGTGCGTTCTTGAAACACAGTGAAAATTTAACACTTGTAATTCTGGCAGCACAAAGAGGTGGTCCCTATGTCCCGGAGCAAGAGCAAGACGTGAAGGCAGGGTTGGTGATTTTTTTGATTTTTTAAATAAAAATTAAAAAAATCGATTTTTTTAATTTAAATCAGATTTTTTAAATTTAAATCGGATTTTTTTTTTTTTTAAATGTCGACACAGTTTGGGATTTTTGGAGGCTAAAAGTAAGTTCTTTTAGTGCAAAATGCATTGTCTTTATTTTAACTAATGATTAATTTAAGCAACTGCAATTTTAGAAAGCCTTAATCTGCTATATCAGTGAGTTATGGCTGCAAACAAAAAATGAAGAAAATGTCAGTCTAAAAGGAAGGGGGGGGGGGGGTAATTATGCATAGATAAACTGGCATTTTTATTACAATGTTTGTGTGTGCGCGCGCTTGTGTTTGTCTAAAAAGAAAAAGAAAATGCTAATTTCAATTATGAAAAAAAAGTAAATTGAATACAGTATTATTTTACTACTTACAGTGACAGGGGGGAAAGCAGACTTTTAAGCATGATTATTTTAGTCTACTAAACCTTATATCTGTTTTATAAAACCAAGGAAAGGAATTCTGAATGTTTAAAGATGTAAAAACAGAATACATTTTTTTAAAGTGATTTAAATCACTGAGTTCTATTTTTAAAATCAAGTTGATTTAAATTTAAAAAATCAACCGATTTAAATCAACTTGATGAAAAAACAATTATGAAAAAAAGTAAATTGAAAACTGTATTATTTTACAGTGACTAGGGGGAAAGAAGACTTTTAAGCATGATTATATTAGTCTACTAAACCTTATATCGTTTAATAAAACCAAGGAAAGAAATTCTGAATGTTTAAATATATGTAAAAACTGAATACATTTTTTTAAAAGTGATTTAAATCATTGATTTTTTATTTAAAAATCAAGTTGATTAAAATATAAAAAATCAACTGATTTAAATCAACCCAGCTCTGATTTCTATTATGGAAAAAAAAGTAAATTGAATACTGTATTATTTTACAGTGAAAGGGGGGAAAGCAGACTTTTAAGCATGATTATATTAGTCTACTAAACTTTATATGTGTTTTATGAAACCAAGGAAAGGAATTCTGAATGTAGAAATGTGTAAAAACTGAATAAAAATACATTTTTTAAAAAGTGATTTAAATCACTGATTTTTATTTTAAAAATCAAGTTGATTTAAATTTAAAAAATCAACTGATTTAAATCAACCCAACCCTGCGTGAAGGCAGGCTATAACTTACTGCTTCAAAAGTTGAATGACCATATAAAATAAGAATTCATAGGAACACATTCAGAGGTGTAACTAGAAAAAAATGTCCCAGCAGTGGACTTCCTTTGACCCTTTAAAAATAAAAAAAATATCCAGCTCCTATGTCTCATTGGATTGGACACACTCACAGGAAGTCAAGCAGCTGCATAACAAGGAAAGTGGTAGACTGGAACCCACAAGGTAAAAGATCAAGGGGAAGACCAACGGAACCTGGAGAAGAGTCATGGAAATGGATGTACAAAAAAAGTAGGAAGAACATGGGGTAATATCAAGCGATAAGGAAAGAAGGAAAGTGTTTTCTCGTGGCCTATATCCTGATCCAGGGTGAGAAAAGCGATTCTGATGATGTCTCGTTTCTGAAGCAAAAAGAACAAAAGCTTTTCCTCACTTTTTTGTTTTCCTGAGGCTGCTTTCTCTCTTGACAGGGTTACCATAGTTCTGACAGACCATCTTCACAGTCTGATAAACAAAGCGATCAGCAATCTTGTCCTTCACACGACGCTCATTGGCGTATTCAATACTTGTGGCAGACTTTGGCTTGAAAGCTGAAAGAATCAATATGAAAGAAAGACATTTAAACCACACTTAGCAAACAAATATCCATTATTATATTTTTCAAAAAACAACAACCGAAAAAAAACTATTCCATTGACACCTAGTGATGTTGTATCATGCAGTAAAAACTTCAAGACACGAGTCCTCAATGTTTCATTACTATTTTTTTTCCCCCCCTGCAAATCATGTCATGTTAATTTTCTTTAGAATCCATATTACTGACACAACTCTACCATACAAAAGAATAATTTGAAAGTGCTTTGTGCAACAACAAAAAGGTTGGGTTTTTAAAATTCAATGAAAAGATAATAATTATAATCTAGTTACCGGATCCAGTGACACGCTGAAACTCTTCAAACAAGGTTGAAAATTCTTCCCAGCTGTCAAACTCTGTCTTCCCTTGAAACACTTTGAGGAAGTCCTCCGTCGTGTCAACAGCTGCGTCATCCGTTCCTGTGGCAAAGATGATATTCCCCTTATTGTCCTCCTCCTGCTCCTCTTGCTCCTGCTCAGGCTCTGGCTCTGGGTCCTGCTCAGACTGTTCTTGCTCTGGTGGTTCTTGCTCTGGTTCAGCCATTGTGGGACCTATGCGCTGCTCAGCAATTTGATATCTGGAAAAGACAATTACAATCATAATCTTTCAATACATATACATGTATATTGGTCACTGAGGGTGCATTTATTATTTTTGTTTTAGTAAGCGTTTTACGGCAATTGCAAAACAATTTGGTCAAATGTGCCAAAGACTAGAGGTGTTATAAGAGAGTAACAAACACAAAAAAGAAGGAAGAGAGCAGGACGATAGATGTTTGATAGGAAAGAATTTATGAGCAAACCGCACCAGAGCACCTGCCAGCCACCAGCAAATTACAATCTCATAACCTATCAATACGCATCATTGGTCACAGAGTGTGCATTATATTAAGTATTTTTGCTTTAATAAGCGTAAGGCAATTGCAACACAGTTTGGTTAAATGTGCTGAAGATTAGAGATAAATTTTTTTTAAATGATGTGTCTATATATTCCCAGCCGGTGTTGAGAATAGTAGAATTTGCCTACCAATGTTTTTATTTTTAGGCAAGCCTACGAGACCAAGATTTTACATTATCAGATAATCAGGTAACCCATCTCATTCGCACCGCGCGCCTTCTGCTATACGCTGTCACAGAGAGTTGAAAGCTTGAAAATTAAAGGCAACTTTTTTCATCTTTTTGGTGGCAACTTTTGGACGAAAAATGGAAACAAACGCAGATGCTAGATATACATGTAAAATGTAATTTAATCTTGAAATATAGTGAGCCCCAACTCTTCAGCTGGAGCATTAAATTATAATAAGTTGTTCCACAAATTTTCCTCGACAGTTAATATACAAAATATCAGAACAGAGAATGTTTTTCGTGTTTTTCTGTTTTATGTATCATCACATTCAGTACTTTGTAATACAGTACAGAAACCTGTCTAAACGGAATCTACCCACTCCCCCCTTGATTATTCCTCTTTAACTACCAGTATAAAACATAAACCTGTCCAACGCGGAAACAGAAAGAAAAATCCGCTCCCTTCCAAGGGTTTCACCTGTCTAAGACAGTCTAAAATGCTTTGCCTGCTCAGCTCTGTTTGAAACAAAACTCGCAAGTTTGGTTCCGCCAGCTCTAAAAACTAACGCCATGGCCATGCCGCTGGGCAAGGAAGAGGAGTAGGGGTGCAATTTGGGGGTAGATGTTACTCCATCGTGTGAGCCCAGAGAGATCATGTAGATGGTCAGGGTGGTGCGGGTGTGACATCTCACGACTGCCCGTGAGAGTGCTTGAGTAGCGAGCCACTACAGAAACTTTCCTGGGTAGCCAGAAGCCAGAGGTGTGAAATTAGACTGACCAGTGCCTGCCGCCCTGATCGTAAGGCCAGCCTAGAAAAGAGTACCTTGAATTGAAGATTTTGTAGAGATAATTACGATATAAGTACTTTTCTAATCTAAGCCGTCTAAGGTATCTCGAATAAGCCCCCCCCCCCCCCCTGCTTAATTAAAATTTTCTGGGTTTTTTGTGCCCCCCCCCCCCCCTCCTTATGGGTCTACCCCCCATTTATTATTTTCCGGCTTGCCACGTCCGACGATCACATGAAACATATCTCTATCTCTACAATCTAGCTGAATGAAACTTCTTTTTTTTTTATATTATGGCATACATATATATCATGGCCACCTCTATTCTCACCCGGGGTGAGAATAGTGCAGGCGGGTCTTGTGGCTATTCTCACCCGGTGCGCGTGTCAACAAATTTTGCGTTCACCCTAAACCACAGAATTCTACACTGTGAGTGTGATAAGAGAAAAATTGTAGAATTCTGTGCTGTGAACAAACGTTCCATTACAACTGTACTTGTAGCCTACTAAAAGCGTACAATTTTGTCTGTGGGCAGTGGAGAGAGAGAGAGAGTGAGAGAGAGAACAAAACAAAATGGCGACCCGCGTAGTTCGGCTCGATTCGAAAAGTTAAATAGCCGTAGCATCTTTGTAGACAACCAAATTAATTTACTTTTGTGTTTTAACATCATTTTTTAACTTTGTTTTGGTCAATTTGATCGTCCACACCGATAGACAGTATTCAGAAAGAGACAGAGAGAGAGAGAGAAGAGGGGAGGAGTAGATCTTGCGAGAACTTCCGGGCGGGTGAGAATAGCCACTTTCATATATCATATATATATTACCCTCAGTATTAGTACAGTAACAGGTACCGGGTTGGCTACCTCCATTTTCTGTGCTTTTTAAAAACTTTTGTACATTGGTTTATTTATTTAAATTAGATCTAGATCTATTTCAGTTTCAGGTTTGTTCCTAACCTAAATGGGAACAGTTGTCACAGTTACTTACTGATGATCTCTTTTCTTCTTTTAATTCACTGAAGGAGAAATAAAACAGATTTGTTCCTACTAGTACTAGATCTAGTTACTAGTACAGGGGTAAGAGGTTGAATGTGCCATCCCCCCTTTTAACCCCCCTTTATTTGACACCTAAGGAAAGTTAGAGTAGAATGTATATATTATATAGGTATCTCTAGTCAGTCTTTGTCTTGTAAACTTTAAAGTTAAAGGCCCTCTTCTAGGAATCTACTAAACTACTCTGCCAAATCCAACTAGAGTTGGTAGTAATTGTAGTACCAGTAGATCGGTAGATCATAGAATTATTGTTGGATGTTTGTGTAAGTTGTAAGTAAAAGAAGTCTACATTTAGATATCTAGATAATTAGTAGAGAATTCTAGTAGCTATCTCTTGTAGTTGTAGATCTACTAGATCTACTACTAGAATCTCTAGGCTATTACTATTATAGAGAAAAGTAGATCTAGCCTCTTGACACAACAATTGTACAAAGACGTTTGTTACTGCCCGAGAAGGCAAAATGCTTATAATAAGGTGTTGATACATTCATAATGCAGAGAGGAGGACATCTCCTTACCCAATTTAATTAATTTTGAGAAATGTTTTATACTTCAACAAATAATTCCAATGTGCATTTGGCTCTGTCGAATTCGCAACAGGCAAGCTGGCAAGCAGTTCTGTTTGGCCATCAAACCAAGTCTGAGATGAAAATAAAATAACCCAGTCACTGACGAAGAATATGAAATGAGAAGATAGTTTTCAGAGTAAATCAACAGACAAATGTGTTTAAAAATTACCTGGATCGTTTGATGCAAGTGGGCCAACAAAAAGTTGATAAGATCAAGGAACTGCAATTTTACAATAAATCCGCCAAAATGGAGTCTCAAAGATGAAGAAAAATGGCTCGTCCTTCAGCTTCACAGACAGTGAGATTTTGATTGGTTAAAAAATGTGGCCACGCTACAGGCGCTTGCATCCAAATGTAATGCCAGGGTTGTAAAAGCCCTCAGACTAAAACTCAATTCTTGTTCGCGTGTTTTCTTGAACCAGTTCGTTAATTAAGAGTGCAGAAAATACACTTAGAACCATTGGAACTATCATCTAAACATTGTAAACTATGTTCATGTAGGCCTAATATGAAATTGCTATTTGACTTCTCAGCTTTATGTCAATCTTAATTCCATGAATTATTTTATACAGTTATACTTGACACCACTAGTGGCGTCGCGTAGGTGCATAATTGGAAAGTGAGAAAATTATGTGCAAGGCTTATAGCTACCATTAAGATTTCTAGAGAAAGTCAATTAGAATCTGCAGGATATCCCGTAATCTACAACTATCGATATTTACAACTGTTTCTAGATGAAACCGCAGAAAAGCTGCAGAAAAGTGAAACTATACTAACAATTACTCTCTTAATGCTCACAATCTTAGAAGATTAAAAAATTTCTACTTCGTGCAGCACCAATAGAGGGATTGCTACACAATAGAGGGACATAACAGTTTCGATAGGAGGTCTACCCATACTTCAGTGAGTTATCGTAAACTCTACTAGTGTAGCAGATATGCTCGCGGAAACTTGGGTCAAATTTTGACCGTAGCACCAAAATAGTGCTGCGAAGAGCAATTTCATGCACCTTTCTTCTTGTGCGGGAAGAACGATGCCTGGATTTTTCCCAAGACGGATGAAGACTCCGTCTTGGATTTCTCTACAGGCACAAAAATAACGTTGGTGCAAATATTTTGCTTGCTCCCGGCAGACACTACCGCAAGCAGTGCGCAGTGCGGCGAGCACAATATACCATCCTCGCCGTGTGTCTCTTCACTGGCGCAGCCAGCGGTGATGAATCGCAAGGACTGTAGTAGATCTAGCCTAATGTAAATCTAGAGCAATGACTGGTTTAGAAAAATTAGAAAATTAAGAGGGGTGACGGCCAGGGTTAGGTGGAGCGCTTGCACATATGGGGTCCTGCCACTGCATGACTGATGAAATAATTGCTCTGCGTAGAGATTGCGTTCTAAATTATGCTTGGGGCACCTAACCTATATATATATATATACCTATGCACACATTATAGGCCTATAATGTTAAAATATGACTTTGGCAAACTTTGTTTTTAATTCATCGTTTTCTAAACAGACTAAAATCATTTTAATGTTTGATCCAATCCTTCGGCCTTAAAATTTTTTTTATATATAATTGCATCCCTGCTATAAAGACAATAAATTGACCTATATTTAATTAAACATATTTTTATAGAGCTATTTTAGAGAACCTTGAATATCTGTTGCCTAAACAATTTGATAAAATACAGGTAGTACTGTCATGTAGACCTAGTTAATTGATTTTCTACCTTGTAGGCTACTTAGAAAGCTTTGAATGACCAGCAATGTTTTTGTTCTTTAAAATGCTAGTACAGTTCTTGATATGGGTTTTACCTAAATTTTTTCGGCCCCCTTTTTTTCTTTTTAATGCAGCGTGGTATTGGTGATGTCGAGCTTTTTTCTATAAAAGCATTCCAACCCTAGATTCAAGTTTTATAACAGAATCTTCTGCTACATCTTTGAGGAATAAAACTTTTGGGGGGACTTATTAAATAGTTTTGGTAATATACATGTATAGTAATGTGTCATGTCTCAATATCATTTTTTTTTTTACTTTGATTGTTTCAATCCAGGAAAGGGGGTGGAATGCGCGTATAAAATTTTATCTGTTTATTCATTCACGTCACTGCCTCCAAGTGTTGTTTCACACGCCTTATTATATTAATATATAACCTGTTTGAAACATAAACAATGTTTGGATTTCTTCTTTTCGCTTTGCTATTGTGTTGTGAAAGGTTAATTTGCGTTCACATTCCAATAAATCAACGGACGATCAGCTGGGCTGCAGCAAGGACCTACAAAGATTCTTTACTAAAGAAGTTAAACAATCTATTTGCTACAACCTCTTATATTTCTTACACTCTCCAAGGGCTTCATTTAATTCTGTGGAAAATCCGCGTTTCTGGCTTCTTTTGGCTCTTCAAATTTAGTAAGCCAATCTGGCCAATACCATTTTGGACAGCCTTCAAAATTTCTCCTCACTCCTTGTCCAGCCAGGCCTCCCAAGCTTTGGCATAGCCTGAGCAAGCCTGACATTCCCTTCACAGACACTAATTTGGGGCTACTTCAAACCAATCTAAAATTAGTTGCTGTTGTTCTAACAAGTGAATTCAGAGGAACTGTCTTGGCCTAGATCTAGGTGTTGTCAGTCTCAATCAATATTTGTGATACTGATTGTCTCATATAAAAGATGTACATTCCAACTTTTTAGAAAGTTCCATTTTGTAAACAAAAGGGGCAACTCTGCCTTTCCAGCCTACAACAATATAACCTTTTGTTTTGACTTGTTTCTCGTTGCGTCAAATGAATGCTGGTATTTTCAAGTCGAAATATAATTGCAACCACTGATGTCTTTGTGTCACGTGTTTATTGTTCTTCCTTTGAGGATAGCTTTTGCTCTTAGCAAGTCCATGTAAGTATCTAGATTTAGAAATCTAATTTTCATGTTTACACTTTCGCATTTCGCATGCGTTACACTTTTCCTTTTATACTGCTCTTCGATTCAGGTGTACAGCACCAACAGTCCAAAAATAAACGCTTTGGGATCTGCGAGTGGAGTCTTTGCGACCTGGTTTCTAGAATCTAAGACAAGATCTAGAATCTAGATATAGATCTAGATATATATATAGATCTAGATATCTAGATCTAGATCTAGAATCTAGATTAGATGTAGATCTAGAAGATTAATTTATTTCCGATTGCGGATAGCTTGGGTGCTTTTTCTACAATCATCTAGATCTAGATCTAGATTCTATATCTAGATTCTAAAATCTCTATCGATGTCTGAGTGACTGGAGTTGAGGGTTTTGATCCAACTTTTAAACCCCCCTTCCTATTTTTATTAGGTCAAGCCCCCCTGAAAACCCCCTAGGCTAGATCTAGATCTACTCTTGTGGCCCAAACCCGTGAATAACATTGCGAGGTGGGAACTACCGAAAAAGCGCCGACTTTAGTTTAGTCGGGAATGACAAGGCGCTCTGCTCAACTGCTGTCAGTTCTGCGAAACTGGCATGCAGTGTGAATTGGACAAAAAAAGTGCTGATTCATTGTGCATGATCGTTGTCCTGCTTACCTCAACCCCAAGTTGACTCAGACTTTACGAAAGAGTTCTTCTCCATGAGAACTGTTGGACATGGTGCCAATCGTTCCCGCGAGTCTATTTGAGCTAAGACTAAGATTTGAATGAAGCTTTTACTTCTGAACTTCTTTGGATTTTAGGCCTCTAGAAAATCTACACATTATTGTAGTAGGCTACTTCAACTTCACTATATCTAGATCTACTTCAGTAGATCTACTTCAGTCTCTCAGTCTCAGTCCTTTGAAACTGGACTGACCTGAGCCTGAGCGATCGAAACTATACATTCTAGTTCTAGCTATCTAGATCTAGATCTAGATCTAGAATCTAAATCATGTTCTAAAAAAGTCACATTTACGCATTTTATGCTCAAAACTGTGTTGGAAGGAAGCTTCACTACTGAAACTGAATGGGTGCAATGGCGTCATTTGATTCTACCTCATCAACCACGTCCACGTCTTCTTCCAGATTTCATTCTTGGTTCAAGTTGCGATGGACACCTTCATCAAGAAGCTGGCTGGTACGCCTAGATCAGAAAATCAGGAAAAGTAAGTAGCCTAAAGTCTGTCAATTCAGATTGTGACATGATTGTCTTGGACCAAGCAGTGGGACTACCAGCTTCTCTTCTTGTCTCTTGCTCAGGAAGAAGTTCACTTTGTTGTGATGAGAAAACTTTTCATTGTGCTGCTCTTCACTTTTCTCTGTGTTTCAAACTTAATATTCTCATTCTGACTGGGGGGGGGGGGGGTGTGAAATACTTTTAACGCCGTGGCTATTTTTACGGCGAGCCGTAAAGATAGCCTCCCCCCAGGCTATTTTTACGGCGTGCCATAAAGAGCCTCCCAGTGAGTCCCAGACTATTTTTACGGCGATCCTCGAAAAGCGACCCTACTCCGCCTCTCATGTACGCGACATGCCTCAATGTATCAGATCTAGGCCTATAGGGGCCGTTCAAAATATAAACTTGCACCTCAGAGAGGAAAGGGTGTCTTTGGATTCTGTAAGAAAAGTGGAAGATTGTACTTCTACTGTATAGAGAGAACACCATGTAAATTTTATAAACTTTCGTGAAAATATATGCTGATATTCATGGCTGTATAAGACCCTTAAAGTTGTATGTGAAGGAATTACTTCATAGTGAATTGTGTGCCAGATGGATAAATGTTGAAAATTATAGCTATCTATCATCTGCGTTGATAAGATCTTTTGTGAATATCCCCATCAACGTTATTTCTATCATGTTCCAAAAGTTCGACAATTTCTGTCAAGCTGTTTTTGTTTTTTAATACATATCTAACTAAATAACCAAACAAGTTAGTGTTCTTTTTTGTGTGTGTGGTGGTGGTGGGGAGGGGGGATGGGTTGAGTCTCAAGAGTAGCAATGCATGCTTTGAATGCTTTAAGTGATAATTACCGTAAGTTGAAGAAAACACCTATAAATTTAAGTTGGAAAAAGTACCATAAATTAGGTTATCCTAGCTAGAGTGGCAACAAGGTGCTGACCCTAATGACCCTGACATGATAAGGCGCTGGGTGGGGAATCCCTCGCTGCAACTAAAATTCCACTGTTGGTGAACAGTGTTCTAAATCTTGACTAGAATTGTGCAAAAATGCCGGGAAGCTTGTACTTTTTATGAAAGGTGCGCATTTTTTTGTTTTTCTTCTCAACAAAAAAGCTTAAACAGGATTTTATTGCCTCTATGGGTGATTCAGAATAGGATAGCATAGCAGTGGCCCAAACTGATTTAATGCAGAGGAATTTATTTATTACTAAGATTCCGATGCTTGGTAAAGCTTTGATTTATTTAAAATTTGGTACGGGGGGGGGGGTTCTTTTTTAATTTAATTTGTAATTAAAACGCATATTTATCACTTTTAAATCTTTATTATTCATTCATTAAAATTATATCTCTAGGTTTATTCCATTAAACCGATATCTAGGTAAATGGCACCCAGATGGTTGGTTTATCTACCAATACTGATGCACATTTGAACTTTTTATGCTATATTATATAGCAGTTAATGATTATCTGTGAAAGTAATAATTCGTGGCACTTATGGGTATTTCCTTTGTTTCTAGTGCTCAACTCGCTTTACAAAATGTTTTAATAGCCAACAATCATAACAATGACTTTGAAAATTAAAAAATATATGGACCATATATGCACCAGGGTATATAAAATAATAGAAACTATTCATGTATATATGGTTGAAGAAGTATGGATTGAATAAAACATGGTAAACAATCCCAAGGAAATAGAAGATACTGTTATAGCATAAAATATCAGTCTACATTTTTAAAATATATATGGTACTGAAGTATACAAAGGTCTCCTCTCTCTCTCTCTCTCTCTCTCTCTCTCTCTCTCTCTCTCTCTCTCTCTCTCTCTCTCTCTCTCTCTCTCTCTCTCTCTCTCTCTCAACAATAATGGTAAAGTATAGATGTTCTATAGGTAGTAAATAAGTGATGTTTCAAATTCCTCCCAGCATGTCTACAGCTGACCATTTCTTCGCTGAACCATTTTCATTCAATGTTTGTCTACTTTGACCATGCACATAACCATGCCTTCTGTTCACCCACCACCCAGCCCTGTCGAGGTCAATATTCAAATCTCCCATGCCGGGTAAGGGAAAGGGGGTAGGGTAGCAGAAGAAACAATGTCTAACTTTTAACTCTGTCACTATTATTTGAAAAAGAACCTATCTCTAATTCACGTACATTATAAAAATGACAAAATGTAATCAGTTTTAGGACGACTTGTTTCAACTTCTTTTTGTCTCTATTTTTGTCATTAGAAAACCATTCAGGGATTATACAGAGAATCCATGTGTACTGTAGGAATTGCATTGAATTGATAAGGTTCTGAAACAGTTTTGGTGTGAGTTTATTTTTTACATTGTTTGTTCATGGGTTTTTTTAAACTTTGCCTTGGCAACTGTGTTTTAAAAGAATCTTGTGGAATTGGACACTGCACAGGTTTTTTCGAATTTGAAAGGAGTGCCTTTACTAATAGCATATCACTATGGCACCATGTGTTGTTGTTTTTTTAATGTAATCTTTACACTGATCTTTGCGATGTTTGTATCGATTAATTATGATTTTAGATACAACCTGATCAGTTCAGAACTGTTCATGCACAGCTGTTTTTACATGCTTTCTAACATTATGAGGTTTTTCTCTCTTGAGCTTACTCTGATATTTTTTTATGGGTAGTTTCTTAATGGGTTTGCTTGTTGTTTTTTTCTACAAATTAGAGATACAACACAAGAACAATGGCGAATTTGTGAAGGTGCGTCTTGGAGATGAGGTTCACAACATCTGGACAGTGGTGGTGGAAGGTGACTACAGGGACACAGTTCCCATCGTCGTCCTCCATGGCATGGGAGGTGGCAGCAACATGTTCCTGAATAATATAGATGCTCTTGCAGAACAGGTCGGTGGCTTTTTTACTTATTGGAGATATCGTTTGTGCATTTTCTTTATAAATAGGAATATGGCCACTTGTGAATGTGCAGAGCAATGCCCTGTCTGTTGATTTGCTCACATATTTTTGTTATGTTTTGGGGTTTTTTTAGACTTGTTTTGTTAAAATTCTTTACTTTAAATCAAGTTTCTTTTCCTTATTTTATACTGTAAAACAGGTCTGAACTTAAGTTGGATTGAATCAATATCATTTGTCTATTATTTTAGTTCTGGAATAAGTCATGACTCTTCATGTGATTGTTTACATTGCTCCAACATGAAAAACAGCATGATAAAGTATGATATAAAATACTCAGCTGTTAATCTTCTGACTTCTGTCTAATCTATATTACATATTTTGCACACTTTCTTCACCCTTGGTGACATTGTTTTACAGATATCCACTTTTAAACCATGAACTATAACTAACTGTAACATTGATTGTGTAGTCTAGATATGGCTCGCCCGAAAGTGTCATTTTTATATCTTAACGATATTCTACTCCAGATCAAGTGTTCAAGTGGGTTGTTGTGCTCTACTGATGATTTTGTGACACTTTGCAGATAGCCAGGTCCTTTCCTTGTTGACCTCTTATCACAGGCTTTCCCTCTTTTGTACTCAAGGCAAAGTTTCCAGCAGAGTGGCTTATTCAAAGGATGATCTATAAACTGGTGATTTTATCTCAGTTTAATTGCAATGTTTCTCCTTCAAAATACTTTTAAAAGATTTTCTGTTGTGTCCTTGGTATATGTACCAATATTTTTAATGGTATTTTGCAATAAACTCTAATTTGCTCTTAGTAAATTATTTAAATGATTTCTGTTTTTGATTTTTTCAGAGAGATGTGATTCTTATAGATTTGCCTGGTTTTGGCCTCAGCAGTCGTTCTGAACTTCGTGTGAAGTTTGTAGATGGCTGGTGGGTGGACACCACAGGGGATGATATAGAAGCATTTTACACAGAAATCTTGGAGCAGTGGTTCAAGAAGATGAAACTCTCAAAAATCATCCTCTTAGGTACGAATGAAATTGTGTGCTCTGGAATTCATTGTTGCTGTTTTTTTCTACTATCCCATCAGGGGCTTTCATGGTCGAGAGGTTACGATGTTCACCTCTCATTCATTAGGTCCCACATTCGAATCCGGAAAGTGACGGAAAATTTTCTTCCCCTAATTTTCTCCTTCCACCCCCATTCCTGCTCTCTAGCAAGGTTCTCTTGTCTGCTTTCGTCTCCACTTTCTGTCCCCACCCCCTCACCTCCTTTGCCCGCTCCTCTGGGCTCCTGACTCTTTCTGAAGCCTTTCTACTGTTACTGCTTGGCTCCTTCCTACTGCTGTCTTTCAGCCACACTCCTGATCTTTTGGTAGGTAAGATCTAACACCTAGCCTTTTCAGATACGGGCGAAAATCTCGTAGGTCCCATATGCAAGTCGCGGACGTTAAAGATCCCTTGGTGGTCCAAAATCGATAAGAGTTGGCTTCAGCCGCTCTCCTACCTACCGAAAATGTTTAGTGTGTCCCGCGCGCTCATTTGCCCTTATGCAGTTGTGAGCGCTGTAAAACACTTACTTTTTAAAAATATTTTTAAAAATACTATCCCGTCACTAGATGGTGCTAATACCCTGCTCGTGAGATACCACCCATATATAATTCTTTATTTACTTTTTTGCGACAAGGGGCAGGCATCTTTTTCTGCAATTATGCTGTCTCCTGTTCTGCTTTCTCCTGTTGACCAGTCAAGTTCTGCAAAATATAAACCCCTGGCACCCTGCAGCACAGGGTTCACCTTTGAAATAACTTATATATTTCTAATAGTAAGCATTGCAGTTGCGATGGCTAAAACAAAAACTCAGGTTCCATGGATCTATTTTTAAGTGTATGTATGAAATTTAGGTTTTAGATGAGAATCAAAAACATTTTTCATCCTCAGTTATTCTTGAAAAAATAAATTTGTTGGTATTTGTATTGCCTTTTGAAAAGCTATTTTGTTTATATCACAATGCTAGTTTTAGCTATTTCTTTTTTACTATGAGATTCAAAACTTAACTAAAAAAGCTTTTTATTAGTTAGTGTTATTTTAGTAAGTTTATGTTGTTTGGTTTTTTTTATTTTTCCCTCCTTCATGCTAACTAATAGAATTTATTGTGCTTTACTCAGGCCACAGCTATGGAGGTTACATCAGTTCTGTTTACTGCCTCAAGTACCCAAAAAGAGTGAAGCATCTTATTCTGGCCGATCCCTGGGGCTTTCCGCAGCGACCTCCCCTGGCAGACAGGAGGCCATTCATGCGTAGCCGGCCTCTGAGATTGTTGTCGAGGTTGTACTCGAAAATGAATATATTCACACCCATTCGCGCTTTGGGGCCCATTGGTGAGTTTTTAACTTCACTATGTGCACAACTTTGATGCAGGAATTTGGATCTTCAGATTGGGGAAAATTAGGGAAGGGGGGTTAGAGTGAAGAAGATAGACAGGTATCAGATATGTATTAGATAAGTGTGACCAAGCCTGATGTTATGTAGTCTATTTAGGGTTCTCAATATCTGTATGGGATAGGACTTCAGGATTGGAATGCTTCTATGGGAAATTCCTTTATGTGAAAATGTTCTCTCTCTCTCTCTCTCTCTCTCTCTCTCTCTCTCTCTCTCTCTCTCTCTCCCTCTCCCTCTCCCTCTCCCTCTCCCTTTCCCTCTCCCTCTCTCTCTCTCTCTCTCTCTCTCTCTGTGTGTGTGTGTGTGTGTCATGTGTCCATTTTGGGATTACTGTGTCAAGCTAAATCAGTTTTCAACTGACATATGGTCAGATTGTTTCATGTAAAATACAGTAAGTGGTAGGGGGGGGGGGGGTTCCTTTGCGATCATGAATTGTGATGTAAGTACAAAACATTATATCTTTGCTTTGCTCTTTATTTGAATTTTAGCATAATGACACAAGTAGTTGAGTTATTATTTAGGTAGTATTTACTTTTTCTAGTTTATTGACAAGGAATTGGAGATTTCATTTCTTTGCATTCTTATGATAATTTTTGCTCAGTTATTGTGTCTAACACTGTGAATTCAGTGTAAATAGATATATTTATTGATTGCAGGTGGATTTAAGAGCAATTTAACTTGACATATCAATTATGTATCTTAAAATACCCTACAGGAATATTTTCCATTGTTGAAAAGGGAGGAGGGTTTTTGTTTTTTTGCTGTTGAAATTTAACCCCCCTTTTAGACATGATATAGATCTTTTTGAAGGTACAGCACTTCATTTTCTCTCCGTTCATTATGAATGCTTGAAGGAACAACAAAAATGAGGATGCTGAACTTCCCCAGGTTGTTTTATTTCATGACTGCCATGGCACCCTGCAAAAGTAAATTATCCTTGTGTTTATATTTGTTTCAAGATGGTTATATTTATGCTGATGGGTGCTTGCATTAAAAAAAAATTTTTACTACCATTTTTCGCACTTTGTAGAGGAAATTGCTGTGAAATTAGTTTGGTTAGAGAGGATGAATATCTCAATCAAATTTTCTTTTTAACTACAGTGCAGCCTCTCTATAACGACATCCTCTGTATAGCGACATGGTGCCGAGGTCCCGCTTTTTTCCTTATATATCGTTAGTCTTTTTTGGTTGCCTCTCTATAACGACATTTTTTTCTGGTCCCAACGATGTCGTTATAGAGAGGCTGCACTGTATATGGTTTGCACTGTCTTTGAAGTGAGTACTACAGATGGTAAAATGGTTCCTTCCCCCCGCAGCCGTACCCCTGTTTAGAGCATTTAAGTTAGACATTAAGGAGAAGTTTGTGGCCAAGATGATGGACTACCCAGTGGAGGAAAGCAGTGTGTCCTTGGTACAGGACCTGATGGTTAAAGATCGGCAGCGTCTGTGTCCCGACTACTCGAACCAAGATTACTGCCTACTGTGGATGATAAGCAGCAAGAGGTACACAGCAGCCCTCTTATGGTGTGCTGCCCCCAACCCCCCACCCCTAAGCCCTCTCCCCTGCACTGGCGCCTCTTCCTCAAGGAATATTTGTGTATTTAGTTACCTGTGATGTCTAACATGTTTCTATTAACCTTAACATTTTTTGTTTTCTTTTTCATGGTTTTTTTTCTCCACTCACTGTTACCCACGTTGTTGTGATAACTTACAACCTTTTTAAAAAGAATTTAGTTCAAACCTGTTTCTACCGAGGAAGGAAAAGGGTCATATGTGTTGATGAGAATAAATTGGTTCTTATCTGTTACCTTTTCTTGTGTTCTAAATATATATGATTGTAACAGCAGAGGGATAGGCTGTGGTGACGGAGACCGGCGGGCAAATGAGTAATGTTTTGTTTGTTCTGCTGACTGATGTTTCATTTATTGGCAGGGGATGCGAACTCAGAAGCTGTCAAGAGCAAAACTGTTGAAAAGGCCATGTTTGTCTTTGTATGTGCTGATATGCCGTGTGATCTCACATGTGGAGAGTTGGCATCAATATCTATCCTGTACCATTGCTTCTCATTTCAGGCCCAGCTGTTTTCCGTTCATTGAGAGCTGATCTTGGACGGAAGTTTAGTTCATACTTTGAGGACCATACCCTTTCTCATTATCTCTATGCCTGTAACACATGTGATAAGCCCAGGTACTTCCACAAGGGATAGATAGCTCTCTTCGTCTGGTTTCGTGTTTCTGTTTCTTTTCTTTTGGGTTCTTCCCACGGTAGTTGAATGTGCTCTGTTCTGATTGTAACAGCATGACTATGCTCTGCTAAATTTTGAGTTGAATGTTGTTTCCTTATTAACCGCTTCCTTACATCATGGTCATATCCAGATCTCTCATCTTTTAACTCTAACATACTCTCATATTTTTATATACTGGGATGAGAGGTCTGGGCATGACAATTATGAGTTATGCTTAATGAGAGATCACATTGTAGCAAAACTTTTTATCTGCTTTTTATGAGGTATATACCAGGGATGGAAATTTTCCGTTTTACTGAAATCCATAATTTTGATTTGCTCCGTCATTTTAAGTGGGATTCCTCCCTTCCCTGATGCCTGTCTACCTACTTTCAACGACGAGTCATTCTATTATGTGTACTAATCTACAAATTGAATAAGTGTATTTTTCCAATTCTGTGTAGCCCGCGAAAAGTTCAGTAAATTTTGGACTGATCAATTTCCATCCCTGAAATGCACAATTGATTTACAAGGGAGAAAGTAAACTAACCCAAATGAAGACATGGGTTCCTTGTGTAGTTTAAGGCTGGAAATGGGGAAAACATTTGGCTTGTCAGTGAGTTATTTGCTATAATATATGTTTATATCTGGAATAATTTCATTTGAAAGCTTTCTGTTCCTTGTATCTATTTTCTATTTGCAAGAAGCTTGAAAAATACTTTGTCGGTTTCAACAAAGCTTCAGTAGAAAATTGAGCTTGATGTTGGTGAAGTGCTTACCCTTTTTAACACAACCACTTTTCTGTGGAATGGGCCTGAATCGTCATTATCATTCTTGTATGTATGTCACACACTTGTATTCTCTACACCTTCATTTTACTAGGCCTCTTGCTTGCAGTACGAATTCAGCTAACATGGCCTTGTTATTGTTGTAAATAAATTCAGTTTCCTAAGCTTTGTTGTCTGTGAAAAGTTAGCTTTGTTCCAGGAAGTCAACTTATTTGTAAAAAAAAAAGTTAACATTTGGAGGAGAGAATAGTTCTTTTTTTATTCCTAGTTTTTAAAGTACATTTATGTGCAATCTAGCACGCACATAGCAAAATCGGTGGGACACAGAAATGTTTTCGTTCTTTACAAATTTCACTATGTATTACATGTTTTAAATACAAAGAAAATACTGTGTGTAAGAAAATATTTGGGACCTTAAAATCTGTTTGCTTTAAAGTGTTATGCTATATATGCGTGCTAAACTGTATATTTGTTTTGCATGTGTTCCCATTATACTTAAGGATTAGTTTCATTTTTATGAAATGACAAGACATCAGAACATGATAGGTTTGAAACACTGTTTGACAGGACACTGAATAAAAAAGATTGAAATGAATGCTTATATGCATAAAGTGTATAATTTTTTTTAAAATATGTAATTGTCTTTTCTGCGCACTCTTTAATTTGAAAAGAAAGTATTTAACATACAAATCTGATGGTAATTTGAAGGTTTAGTCTTTACACTATATATGTTCAGTAAATGTTGTGTTTGCATTGTGCTGTAGATAAAAGCTTGCCCTGTGTTCTTTTCCTCATCTAATCGCTTGTAGTTTCTTAACCCATAATACAATGTGTAATATATGGAATCTATATGTATCGTCACTTTAGAAAACAACTTGCGCTTGAAAATATTTTGCAAAGAATTACTCCAATATATTGCTGCACCAGGCTCCATGATTCTGTATTGTATTTGTGTAGTTACTTATAAATTTGTCTTCTGTTGAATCAAACTGGAAAAGGTACAAATGCTATTCATATTTTTGTCTTTAAAAAAAAGAGAGAGAGAGGGGGTTTAAAGTAGCTCAAATAATATGGTTCAGAAATAGACAATTTTGTAGATGTTTTTTATCCCAGGTTACAATAAGATTACTATACTCATTGTTTTTTATTTTTTATCCCCCTTCTTCTGTTACTTAACTGCTTTAATTGTTCAGAAAAAGAGACAATGTGAGGCCCTTTAATGGTTATGATTATAATGTGCCATGATGTAGTGCAAAATGGAATATGCTAAATTGGAAAGCAGATTCCCATTTTGTTTAGTTTCATTTTTTTTTTCATTGGCGAAGTTTTGTTCTCAGAAATATAATAGTTTCAGACATCTAACTTTCTAGAAGATGACCTTTCATAATGTTGGTATTTTTAAAAGCTAGCTTTGTGTCAGCTTTAGTTCCTATGTACCTATCCTTTTTATCCCAGTTAAAGCTAAACCAGTCCCATTTCACTGTAGCAACGTGGGTTCTGGCAATGCTGTATAAGAGGGTTTCACTGAATTGATGAAGTAAACTGGTGGTAAATTAGTAATTGAAAGCTTAAAGAAAGAATAATTGTGAGGCAGCGTGGTGGAATCAGGCTCTCGTCAAAATAATCAAAGTGAAGAAACTTGCATTTTTCCGCAGGTTTGTGAATTTTTATCAAATTTTTGTTTTTTTGGCTCAACACCTTTCATGCCCATTAAAGAACTCATTTCTGGATGGATTTTTCTGAAAAACGTTGATTAAAGGAACAAAAAATGTAAATTTTCAGTTACCACAGACTCTTAAGCTAAGGAAATAACTAATCTTTGGCTGCCATTTTCTCACTAATTTTACCTCTGAAAACAGATGACCCCCACCTCCTTCATTCGCAAATATCTCGACTTGTATTCAAGATAAATGGATATTTTTTTCATTCAAATAAAGACAAGTGAACAAGCTTTAAGGTGATACCAATAACTCTACATGCTCAAAAATTGACGAGTGCCTGATTCCACCACGCTGCCTCACAATTTAGACTGATGATATGGGATTTGACCATAAAACTTTTCTAAATACAGACATTTATCTTGTCTTTTCTGTGGTTGTATAGACGGGATCCGTTTTAATGAGAACTGATGACTCTCATGCTTTCTTACTGTTTGGTTAAAACATTTCTGTTGAGTGTTCACCGAAGCTGAAATTACTGTTTCTAATGCGTATGAAATCAAATTAAGTGTTTTGTTGTTTTTTTTCTTCCCCATTCTGTGGCTCAATAAAGTGGTGAGACCGGCTTTGGTCGTCTCTCCATCCCCTTTGGCTGGGCCAAAAAGCCACTAGTGGACAGAGTAGTCAACTGGGTCCCGGAACTGGATGTAACATTCATTTTTGGGGCTCGCTCGTGGGTTGACTCGCAACCTGGTTACGAGACGCGCAACCACAGGCACGACAACTATGTTGATGTACAGGTATGTCTGAGGAGGGAGAGGTCACGCTATTGGGCTCCTAGAATGTTATGTTACAGTTGTCTTTTTATGTTGGTATATTATGCAAAATTATGCAATTGAACCGGCTTTTGAAGTCAGAATTTTCTATTACTTTGCGCAAAGGCTCAAAATTGATGTTGATTGAAGAAAAAGACAAAAGCAGAGATGATGTCCTTCCTGTTCTTTAGATGTGTGGTAATGGTACAGACTAGATAGTATTTAGAAATGTGCAATACTTAACTGTTTTATGCAGTGAGAGACTCTGGATGTCTGGAAAAGGATGTCAACTTTTGATAGAATTTGACCCTCTGGTCTTACCACCTGTTTTCATTCATAGCAAAAGTGACAGCTCATTTCCACTCTTTTTCATAGTCTAGGGAAGCATTTATGGGTGCATTATATTTGCTGAATGTTGAATAAGTAAGGACAGTTTTGTGTGTGGTTGTGTAGTATTTAATTTATTAAGTTTATTAGTTTTCGTCTTGAGGTCTAATTCACACGCCGAGAAAAATGAATTTCTTTATCTTTTTTTTTCCCAGGTGATCAGCGGGGCAGGTCACCACGTGTACGCAGACCGTCCACTGGCGTTCAACAACATGGTGGACATGATCGGTGAAGCGGTGGATAATGGCGTCAAGCCAAACATCAGTCACGAATTTGAGAAGCGCCATCTAGCCATGTCTTCTCTGAGGCGCCGTGCTTCATGCGCTTCTCAAGCAGAACTCTGCAACGACGAAGCAGGGCTTCGACAACTGCGGGCTTTAAGCGAGTCAGAAATGATGGGCTTTGATGGGGATGGGGTGAGAGGGGAGGGGGACACGTCGCCCGTGACCTTCAATCTTGATGATACGGTCGTTGAGGAGGGGGCTTCTGCTGCCCCAGTCAGTTTCCACCTGGGCAGTGCACAGGAGAGAAAGCCCACCCTGAGAGCTTCTAAGTCTGGAGGAGGATTAAAAAATGTGAAGTTCTCCTCAGACAGCTTACAGAACTCGAGTGCTCTTCCGTCAAGGGGCCAAGGTGGACAGGTTGACAAAGATGAGGTTAAAGTAGATGAGGCGGGATACTTACTTTGTGAAGAAGACTCGGACATTGGACATACTGAAACCAGAAAGAAACCTGCCAAGTGAACCAAGCATGAAGCTACCTCCAAGTAACTATTCGTTCTGCATAACAGTGTGGTTTTAAAAAAGGTATACTTTTCCTCAGATCTTTCATGTGTGTGAATCAGGTTATCTTATATTAAACATAGGGCAACAATCATTACAAATGTTTTGTCATATTCCATGTCATATTTAATCCCAAGTAAAGAGCATGAACAATATGGGGAAGAGAATGTATTATTTGAAAAGTTCATGATGCTTAGGTTAGTTCGTAGTGGTAAATTAATGGAAAGTATGTGTGAGTTTGACTTAAATAATGTGGGTAGTCTGGTGTAGTTTGCTCCTTCTTTCCTAACAAATAAAACAGCTATCGTCCATATTTCTCCTTTTTTAAAAAGAACTGTTTGTTGTTACTCTCATGTCACACCAAATTGTCGGCGCGTATGTGACCTAATTGTGTTAAAAGTGTCGTAAAATTCTTACAAAAAACAAAGACCTTACAATGCTGTTGTATGTGTGGGCTATGAGCGGGGCAGAGGGAAATGTCTGCACTACTGTGGTCATGTGAAAGAGCAACATCTTCAGCCCAGGAAATAATGACACGGCAATTGTGGTTCAGAGTGGTCAGTCTTGTGGTCTAAATGTTGATTGAGGCTGGTGCCAGGCATGTCCCTTTCTACTTCTGTACGTTCGCAGCTAACGGTCACACCTCTTTGTAAGTAACAACATTTATTTTTTTTAATGAGTGTTCATATGAAAGCTTTTTAAGTGGTTCAAATTAGTTTTGATATAAAATGCGGTATCATTATGTTTATGAAATGTGTTAAACATGTCATTGTTCTGCTTCTTTTTTTTTTTCTCTGGTTTTGCTTTTTTGCTTTCGAAGATCATATTTTGATGTTTGAACAAAAATTGTCTTAGAGTAGACTTTTGAATTTTACACTATACCTCTTCCTCTTTGAGAAAACTCTTTATATATCGTATTATTTCATGAATGTGAACATTTTACTTTTTTATCACTTCTGCGTGGCTAAGCGTTTACACTTGTCTTGTCTCTTAAAATGATACAATGAGCCATACATGGTAACGTTTTACATTTCCACCCCCCTCTCAGACGGGGAGATAACTCTTGTGTGCATGTGAACGTCTGGTGAGAGAAAGTGGAGGTTATTATTTGTGGCTTCATCTAACAGCTGACAGTGCATGTGTTTGCCATTCTGATAGGCCAAAAGCCACAGATAGGTTGGATGCTCAAGGGAGAAGAATTGAAATGTGCTACTTATTTCCACATCGCTATTTTGTGAGTGGAGGGGTTGCTTTCTTTATGTCAATTTTGCTGCTGTACAGGATGTGCGTAGATGCACTCAAAAAAATCTCATATGACCCTTTGCTGGCTTCAATCATGGTGTTCACATATCCATTGTAAGTGTGTTATATGGATTTAAAAGCATTTTTGAATCACAATTTAGCATGAATTTTAATGGGGAAATTGTTAACATTCCAATCATTTTCCTTTACTGCAGTTTGCCTACTCTACTCCCTTTCAATTTTGAAAATTTTACAATGTTTGTATACTGCTGTTGTCTATCACAGTATTTTTTTAAAAAGTTTATGTCAAGTGTGTTTTTAGTCATTTGTATTTTTAAGTTCTTTGTAAAGTATACCAAGGTCTTTCGTGTGTTTTCATGCTTTTTGCTGATCTGCTATGTTTTGGGGTGTTTTTTATGCCATCACAAGTAATGATTTTTCATCTCGATGAAATGTTGACCTACTTCAATTTATCCCAAAATATTGTGCGCAGATTATCTTACTTCCATTTTGTTGGGAGTGGTCATGAAAGCAGGCTGTGTTTATGCAATTAAAAATTCTTTCCCTGTAAAGTTAACTTGTATTGCGGAGATAAACTCTGCTTTCCCTTCCACCTCTAAGGCATGTGTTGTCTTCTTACCATGGATAGATTTGAGCAACAATATTAGTACTGGGGTCCCAGGAAATAATGATGAAATATTATGTGGCACCCTTTGACCTATTTATTACGGTAGTGATGTATTGGTTTGGATGTTTTGATAATGGTGCCCTGGCGTGGGCATGACTGCTCTGCCTGCTTGGAATATTATTCTTTGTCTTGTAGAGTAATGAACTTCCATAAGAACAAACTGTAAGGAGTGATATCCATCTACTTGTACTGTAGTTTTTCCTTTCATGGATTGTCTACTGATTAGAGGGAAGGGATGATGGGTCTTCTTGTGTTGCGATGGTCCTTTTATTTAAATTAGCATGTCATGTTTAGTTGAAACGAAGATTCTGGTATCTTTACTTTAATATGGATTTCTCCTCAGTTTCAGATAAGAAAAGAAAATCGTTCATTTGCAGCACTAGAGGTACAGCAAAATTTGTACAGGAATCTATATCCAAGGAGTTTTGTATCTTTTATAAAAAGAGTAGGAGAAAAGGTAGTTTAAGAAGATCCTCAATCTGAGAGATTTTACAAAATGTCTTCACCTGGGTGGGCAGGTAGCATAATCTGTTGAAATAAAGTGGATTTTTAAATTTTTTTTTTTTTAAAGGAGTGAAATATAACATAAATACAAGCTTTGGTGTAGCCTAATGCTGCTGTCTCATCTTCAGGTTTTGAGCATAGTCACTTGTGCCTTGCTGCTATTCTGATTTTTGTTTCAAAACAGGGGTAGGGGCGCTTATTCCTTACGAACCAGTGAAAAGGGTCTGAATTGAAATTGAATGTCTGATGTTTACAGAAAACCATCAATGCTATGCAGGGGGGAAAAGTCAGCCAGACTAATACCCTAGTCTTAATTGGAAGGAGTGGTGAGTGATGTGATTTTACACCTTCAGATGCACTATCTGCATCTCATCTAGTTTTACCTCTGTCTGTACATCGAGGGTAGGCAAGTGAAACATCTCATTTCAGAAACTTTATACTTTTTAGGAGAATCTGTAGATTTTCTCCTTCACTGTGTCATACTTGCTTTATTTTTTATTTTTTTACTCCTACCATTTCAGAGCAGTTTGTGCTGTTGCAGGCTAACGTTTTTGATGCAATGTGTGCCTTGTTGTGTACTTTACAATGCTTTGCTTCTCTGCCTTCCATACCTTTCATGTTTTTCTATTAAAAAATTTTTTTTTGCTTGTAGCTGTTGTTTTTCTGTAGCTCTATATCATATTTCACCGAGTTGTTTTTGTAGTGTAGCACAGCATAGCTGCCCACTGTCCCGGGCCATCCGTATTTTGTTCGGATTTTCTTGAAAAATCGCTGTTGTCCCAGAAATACGGATTTTGACCGACGGTCCCTGAAAATAAAAGCTTGGCGAGCATACTTCTAAAACAGAAAAACTAGCCTTCTGTTGCTCGGGAAAATGACGAAAATTCGGGAGAGTTGGCAGGTGTGCAGTTTCGGCAAAGTCAGCTGATATGCATGCGCGGCGCTCGGCTTCTTCATTCGTTTGAAAAGATGGTGTCAAAATGTTCGGCGATGAGTTCTAAGTCAGACTCTGGACCAAGTAAAGCAAAGAAACCAAAAAGGCAGCAAGTTTTTCTTGACAAATACAAAGTGTCCCTGATAATTAATCAATGTCCCTGATTTTGAGCAAGGCTGTCCCTGATAGCCACAGAGAGGGGTGGGCAGCTATGGTACAGTCAAACCTGCTCTCATGACCTCCATTCCAAGACAACCACTTGTACAAATGACCACTTCCCTCTTCACGCATTGCTTTTTTTTTGGCTTTTTGGTATTTGACACTGTCCAAGATGACCACATTTTGTCCACAACGTTGGATAGACATCTTGGATAATTTTGATAGTGTATTCTTTTTTAAACCTTGAGGAGATGAACAAGCTACTTTTGATGTGAGAATGAAATTTCTCATTGATTTGAAATTAGGGTAGCTCATGACAGGCTTGGGTTGTTTATATAGACTCTTGAAGTGTGTTGCTTGCATTACATCTTGGAGAGTTATGACTCCACGACTGTTTTTGCTTTGAGTGTAAGAGCTTTAAGTATATGTGGTTATTTTTGGCCTTTGATTTAAAAGGAAAATGTGTGATTCAGGAGAGTATATATTCAAATATTGACAAAAGTAGTCAAATTTTTAGGTATTCAATACCTTATATGTGTTGTAGATAGTTGTTGTGGAACGGTCTTGTGGATAGCAATTACCTCGAAGCAAATGTTTATGTATATGGGGAATTTTTATTCCATGGATAGTGAAAAATTTCTCTGTGACGCTGCTCATGTTTGAATTTTTAAAAATATATTAAATATTTGAGTCTTTCAGATTTTATGATATATAGTCTTTTGTTTTTGTAACAGTAAATACTAAAGTAGTAAATCTTCTTGGTACATATGTAGTTTCCTTTCATGCAGCATAGATGAGAATGTACACTCAAGTTCTGATAGGGAATATTTGACTGTCAGTAGCCATGTTGATGGGTCTGGCTGTTAATTTTATTTTATCAATTCTAACCAGAAGTTTGAGGTTGTTTGTTTGTCACTGGCCAACTTTGTACTGGTATATATTATGAGATTTATATCGCTGAAGCAATGTGATGTGTGAAGACATATTCTAGCAAAGACTAGAATGCTCAAAAGTTGCCACTCAGTCAAAATTCTTCATGTCTTTCTTTGAGTACTTCTTTCTCAACCCGGTGTCCCGATTGGGTCAAGTTTGTTTTTTTTAAGCAATGCATCTTAAAGGGCGTCAAATTGCTCTTTTAAAAAAGCGTGATATTGAAGGGGATCAAAGTATGTGCAGACAGATTATGTGACCTTTAGGCACATAGTGTTGCAGATCCTTTCTATTTCTATCATGTACTGGAGTCCAAAGTGCCTGACTAAGATCGACCGTGAGGTTCACTTAATTTGACCTGATGTTTGCTAACTTGGACATTTCTCCATGAAAAATTAAAGTTATGCTCATGATCAAAAGATTTTTGGGATAAATATTGTAACCTGTTTGTTTTTAACTTGAACGATGATAATGTGCTATTGGCACATTAGCCTAAAATTGTTTCGTATTCTCCTAGAGGAATTTTATTCATTCTTGCAACCATTCTGCACTTGACCTTCAGTAAATATATTTTTTGGATCAGGTTGAGTAAGAAAGTACAACTTCAAAGGACTTTAGATTGAAAAAAGAACATTTTCATCGTTGTAACCCAATGGGTATCATATAGTGTGTGTTTGTATTTTTATGCAATGAGAGATATCAATATCATGTACCTTTCTGAGGTGTGCAGGAAAAAGCAGTGTCTTGTCGTGCCATTTGTCTGCATGCTGAAACTTGCATTGTTTAAGCTTAAATTTTTCATTTTTATAAAGTAAAGAATAAACCGTTGTGTTCTATTTTATAATGCTGTTTTCGTTTCATTTTATATAAAAGTGTCTGTCACCTATGATATACTGCCTCCTCTGTCATTAAGAAGTACCACAGTCTGTTCATTGAAACTTCCTGACAGTACTGCTGAAAGCTAACAAAACACCTTTTTTTTTTTCAATTTCTTTTTGATGCAAAAATTTGTTAACTGATAAATCGAAAGCCTAATCAGTTGCCCTACTTGTGTGAAAAATTCAAAGTCAATATGTCACCATGTGAATAGTTTTTGAATGAATTAGAATTCAAATTTCAGACTCGCTCTATTTTTAAATGGTTATGATTACGATGACATAAAACCTCTTTTTCTCAAAAATGCTGGAAAGAAAAAAAGGCGTTTTGTCAGCTCACGGCAGAGTAGTGGCTTTCTACATTTCTTTATAGGCCCTGCCTTAAGCCTGGTTTAGATCATTGGGAAGTTTTTTCAAAATAATTAATTTTATTGATTTAGTGAGAAAGTTATGCTACTACTACTAGCTGTTTGAACTGTTTCCTAAAATGTATTTTATATGATTTTTTTTTCTTCTAAAATTTAATCTAATTTGGTTATATTTACTTGTTTATTTATATTTTTAAATTATTTTATTTATTTATTTATGTTTTTTGGGGGGGTCAGCAGATAGTAACAATGCCTTTCTTGTTTTATTTTAAAAAGTGGTGATTGCTGAATGTGTACATAAGATTCTGCATTTTGGCATATAGTTTAAAGAAAAAAATAAATTAAGAGGCTCAAAATTTGCGTCCTTAATCTGACAAATGAGTGGATAATGAATACAGCCAGCCTCTCATTTTCACGTTTTGGGAGTAGTAAACCAGTGCTGTAGAGGAGCATGAAAGTCGACCTCAGAACTAGGACGGCAGCATTTTCCCGGGAATCAGACTGTACTCCTACTTCTTTCTTTAACTTTAACTTCTCAGTCTGCATATTGTTCAAATGTTCTAGGTGGCCCAGAAAGCAACATTCTCAGAATAAAGGAAAAAAATGGTTAATTCTTTTGTCAATTGTACATGGTATTGGTATATTCAATGCATCTGGTCTTGCTATTTTATTTTTTTTTCAACATTTTTAGAAATTAATTTTTACCTAATATTTCTTCAGCACACACAACAGATTAAAAGAAACTGTAATTTAAGTCAAAAGAATAAGTTTTGGCTTACTACATCTGAACATCTAGCTGATTATAACTGATGTTATTATCGTCTTGCTCTTGCTGTTGCCTCGCTTGCTCCGTAGTATAATCATTACAGTGGTGTGAGGATGATGTGTTCCTCTTTCACACAAACGACCGCTGAAGAATATAAACAGTCTTCAGTCCATCGATTACCTTTCATATCGGCTGATAAGATAAAGATGAAAGTGGGTCAACGTGGTCCTGATGCTGCCCGCTGACACGATTTGCCTTTGTGGTTGTTTCTATAGAGAGGCAAGCCAGCTTGGCTTATTGGATACCGGCACTCTGTAAGCTAAAGCACGCGTACGAAACTGAACTTTCTCCTCCTCCTCCTCCTCCTCCTCTCTCTCTCTC